GGATGGATGAAGGTGTATTTTAAGTTACAGCATGTGCTTTCAAGGGGTCATAGGTAATACCGAGGGATCTGGGTGAAATATTGAGGGATTAAGCTGTGCAAGGTAAAAAACCTACTTTGACAAACCTACTTTGAATTCAAATTTCTTTTAATTTTTTTTTAAATTTTTTAAATTCGCTAGAAATTTTTTTAAAGTTCCGGTTCCGGTTCCGGTTCCGGGCCGGAACTTTGAAAAGTTCCGGTTCCGGTTCCGGGAACCGGAACTCAAATTGGATCCGGTTCCGGTCATAATTTCGGTTCCGGTGAAACCCTACTTTATAATATTTCACAAATTAATTTATTAAATTTTTAGAAGCTGTCAATGTCAAAACTTAAATTAGACGGTTTGTGCTTTTCTATTTTTTTAATTAAAAATTTTGTTTTTCAAGCTGACCTGCTTTCTCGAGAAGTTCAATGGTTTTCTGTTCGTTTTCCAACTTTCTCTACAAATATCCAACTTCGTTTGGATTGTGTATATCAAGCATTGTCTGAATTACAACATAAAAAAGAAAACGAAAAAACTTTTGAGGAAGAGGAGGGACAGGAGGAAAATAATTCTTCAAATTCTGTAATGGCCTCAAAATTTCGAAAATGGCTGTGCAGACAGGAATTGGACTTGGCACGTATTCGGCAAAAGATTCCTTTTTCTCGTAATTCTCTTTCGTCGCTACAAGATTTGGAATTGGAACAAAAGGTTGGTGAGAATATCTTTTATTAAAATTATTTGCGTCTGAATTGAAAGTCAGATCTTATTTTGGTTCCTGGCAAGACCTTATTGTTAGTTAGGGAGCTGAAGCCCCCCCCCCCCCCCCGAAATTGATCCTTTGGCTACGCCTTGTTTCTGGTCAAAAATTAAACTTAAATTTGTAAATTTAAAGATTATGAATTAAAAAATAAACAAATTGGGTTAAATCTTTTTTTCTAAACGACCACCGTCGAGGAAAATTTTTCGTAAATTATTCGCTGATGAACCTAAAATTCGCATTTAAGCGCCGCGGTGTAACATTTTTATTGCAAAAAAACTTACACCCATAAAAACACTAAAGTTAACAAGGCTCCGCTTAAATAAAAATATTCCATCGTGCCATTTTGTAAAATTCCAGTCATTAGGAATATTTTAATTTGATCGGAACAACCACATCTTCACGAAAAACGGCGAACTGAAAACTCGTAACTTTTTTACTAGATACACTGGAACGACACTAATTTTTGTGTCTCACACATTTGTTAATCTCGAAATAACTATGCAATTTCGACGCACACCCCACCCTATCCCTTCCCCTGAATCCGACCCGGGCTTCGCCCTTCGTATTTGGGCATGGACTATGTTATTTATTGATTTGTATCGTGTTCCCTAGGAGACCCCGTCTCGATTTATGCATAAAAATTCTTCTATTTCTAGACACTAACCAAGTTTTATTACCTTTACTGACACTAAAAACTTTTATTACAATGTGCCGAAATTTGTAATCTATTATTTTTATTTCTTAAATTAACTATTTAATTTATTTATTTTAATTCTGTTTCTTGTTTCTCCATTTTTATGGCTGACCTTGATTTTTTTATGTATCCCGCATTGAATGTTGGGATTATCAGATTATCTTCCCAACTAATCTCAACTATATAACCATACTAAATCCATCTTCTTCTTTTTTTACCGCAATATTTATTTTATTAATAAAAATTATTCTTTTGGGTTTTCTTCATCTCCCAGTCCTCGTTTAACCTTTACCTGTGGTCGAGTATTTTTATTTGAGTTGATTTGTTTCTTCCACTCCTCCTGGGCAGAGGTGGGTCGGAACAGTCAGAGGTGTCGGAAATCGGAAGAGCCGGAAATCGGAACTGTCTCAAAAGTCGGAAATCGGAAATCAAAATTTTTTTCGGAAATCGGAAGGAAAAAAAATCGAAAATCGGAATTCCGACCCACCTCTGCTCCTTTTGGAGATTGGAAGAGAATTTTAAACAAAAAACTTGAATTGGAAAATTTCTTCCCAAATAGGGAACCCTTAAAAACATCCATTTTTTATTATCCAATTAATTTTCCTTTTCATCTCTTTACTATTTACCTTTTTCCTACAATTTTAATCATATTAGAAAATTTATTTTTACATAGTTTTTGTACAAAAGTTTGCGCATCTGTTTTTATTTTATTTAAGTCTTATAAAATAAAAAATATTTTTTTCTTCTATTTTTAATTATTTACTTTAATGAAAGGATTTATTTTAATCATAAAAGAATTTAAAATACAAATTAGAGATTAACCTTAAAAAGCTTTTTTTGTCTTTTAAATTCCGCAGATGTTTTTAATGTTTATTTCTTTTTTTTCTATTCTTTTAACCGCTATATTTTAAAATAAACATTTAACTTTTATTTTCAACCTTAAATTAATTAAAATAGTTTAAAAATAAATCATTTTCTCAATTTTATAACCTCCTCACACTTTTCCTGCTCCTTAAAAAAATATTTCAATTCAACATTTACTAGCTTCTTTTAATCAAAGCCATCTGTCTTTCACTTATCCCTCTATAAATTTTTTGTCTTTCTTTCAAGCATTTTTAACTAGTAAAAGTATGATTTAATCGACTTTACTTATCTAAATAAATCTTTTTTGAAGATATTTTCTTATTCTCGAATTTCACATCGTGACATAACACTCTAAAATTTCGGAGATGAAAAATTGATTTAGAAAAAATTACATTTATTTAGTCTGTCTTTTACTTATTTTATGTTAAAAAAAGGTTAAAAAATATTTTCTTCAACTTTTCTTTATTTCGAAATAAAGCAATGTTTCCTGGAAAATATTTCAAATAACACCAAATTAATTGTTGCATGCTCTTCCATTCGCGCACAGATGTGTGTGCGATTAACCTTTTTTTTCTACTACATATTCATCTACCTCAACCAAAATAATATTTTTATTTTCTTTTCTGCACTTTCCTCATTTCTTGTTTTGACATTAGCCCCCTCTCCTGTATTGACAATCGACTCCACTTAAAAATTGCAAAATTGGTCATCAGCCAGTCTCTCTCCTTCTATTAATATACCTTCATTATAATGGCCCAATTTTTATGTTTTTGTGATTTTCAGGTTATCCTTCCCCCTAATTTTCCTCACGACCATTCGCGCATAAATTTTTTCGTACCTCGCTACTGTCACTTGTGTTTATTTTTAAATTTTGAATTATTTTTGAATAATTTTAAATAATTATTTTTCAGTATTTACAAGAGCAAATTCAAAAAGAAGGCCGTAAATTACTTTGCAGGTAGAAAATTAATTTTACAAAACAATGTTTTTTGTTTTAATTTTCTAGATTAAACATCCAAAGGTCGACTTCTACCGATAGAAAACTTTTTGACACTCTTGAACAACGATATCTGGCACTTTGGTTGGCCAGTTTGGAGAGTTTTGAATTAATTGTTCAATTTAAGGTAATTAAAAAATTCTTTTATTTCTCTATTGTTAGTCAACATAGCTACTGTAAGAATGTTTCTATTTTTACTCACATCAGTCAGTTTTTTCTTTGCTCGATTAATCCTTGAATTTCATTTTTTCAACAATTCACCTTTTCTTTTTGTTCTTTCCTTCGTCCTTTTCAATTATTTATTTCTTACTATGATCAAATAAATTGTTGGGAATAAATAAATATAAACAATTCTTTTTTTTTTTTTGTTTTTCCCCTCATTTATGAATCTGTCAGCATGAAAAAGCACCTGTCCCAGGAAATAAAAAATCTTTGTTTTTTAAAAAATATATTTATTTTAATATTCCTTAGCACATTAATAATAAATAATATACGTCTCTCTCCAATATTCTTAAGCTTTTCAAAAATAATTATTATTTTGATTTTCTCGTCTTAATACTTTTTTTTCTTATCATTAAAAATGCTTAAGAAACAATTTATATTGGGTATTTATTTTATTTTTTGGTACTTTCCTGTTATGACGCAACACATTTAAATTTTTTTAAAAAAGCTAAAAATGTTCAAAAATAGTAATAATAAGCATAAAATTTTTTCCCACACGCATAAATTAAAAGAAACACTATTCACTATGCTTCCGCATAAATTATACCGATCGGGAAAGAGCAGCAATTCGCATGGCACAAAAATTCCTATTTGGCGGTGTACAACACGCGCCTGCAACAAAACAAAAGGCTTAAGACCCAATACTTGGTTGGAACCATCTAAATTACCTCTTGATACTGTTGTCCTGTTATGACGCAAAAAAAAATTTTTGCTTATTATTACTATTTTTGAACATTTTTAGCTTTTTTAAAAAAATTTAAATGTGTTGCGTCATAACAGGAAAGTACCTATTTTTTATTTCTTTTATAAAATAAAAATCCCAGAAAAACTTGTTTTAAATGTCCCGATGAGTCGGCAGTTTTGTAAATTTTGGGGGATTTTGATGTTTTTCATGCTTAAGCCAATATGTCCTTCAACCGATTTTCTTCCATTCCTTTCCCTCACTTCTCTTCATTTTTAAGTTTCCATGACGAATCTGTTTGTTATTCGTTTTTTAATTCGATTTCTTTACGATTAGTAATTTTCCTCCCCGATTCTGGCCTAGCATTCTTATTTTGTATGTTTTTTAGCCTTTTTATTTTACAGCCTTTTCTATTCATATAATAACATTTAATCAAAAGAAATATATTCCCTTTAAAATTTTTGCTTTTGAATGTATTTTGTAGAAAGCGCCTCTTTTTTTTTTAGCTGTTTGCATACCTGTCTTTTAGTTGGATAAGCTATGGGAGGTGAAAGAGAATTTTGAGGGAAAGCTTTTTTGTTTTGAATGAAAATAGACAAAATTTCTCTCTCATTAACTTTATTATACAGCTGTAGGTTAATTATACACAGGCTATTGATTCTCTTTTTTTGTCATTTAAAATTTAATTTTTGAGGATATTTTGATATATTTTCTTTTTTTAGAAACGTCTTTTCGCTGAGGACAAGGAAGATTTGTCTTCAGAGTTGGAAGAAGGGCCAGATCCGAAGCGTCGAAAAACTTTTGAAAAAAAAATTGAAGAAAAAATATTTGAGAATCTCCCAATCACTACAGATCTGTCACTAAACCAATCAAATGATTTATTAGCTACAAAGGCAACGTTTGTAATGGATGGTGTGAGACATGAAAGACAACAACCATTGCCGTTAGGTTCAGACATTGGTTATTCTAGTGGGGAAAACAATTCAGTTCACGAAATAATATCAAATGCAAAATCGGTGAGTTGTTAAACTTGGTTAGCAATATTGACCCTGAAACCTCACCCCCATTGATTTTTGGGCAAAATAAGGACAGTTTCCTTTGGGCAACCCGCATCTATACCTCTGTAAGTTAGTTTTCTTCTTCAGGGTACACAACTTACCGCGAGCTTCAACTTATCGCAGAGCTATAACTTCGTTTAAAATGGTAGAATTTGGGACGACCTGCTATGGTTCGTTTCAGCTCGTCGAGGCACATCGAGCCATACCAAGTCGTCACGGATTCGACAATTCTGAACGAAGTTATAGGTAGCTTGCGGTAGGTTAGCATGCTTCCGACTCTCTAGTTGAAACTTTATTCAAAAATATTTCTTTAACATTTTTAGCTAGGAGAGGATTATCGTGAACAATACAAAGAAAATGATGTAGATCCACCTCTTTGGGCCGAACAAATTGCACAAAGCAATGAATTAGAGAAAAGTTTTTATCGAACAGTACCTCTAGACGATTATGGAATGACTGATTTAGATACAGACGAGGGAGGATTTGGTCAAGAAGGAGGGAAATACTTGACACAAAAAATATTGCAAGATTTTGAGGAAAAAATTGGACAGGGCAAGCTTGAATTAACTGATTCTTTAATTGTGCATGTGGATTCACCTGAAAATCGGCCGCTTAATGAATTTGAAGTATTAATTTTTTTAATCACTTTTGAGGCCCCTCCTGAAATGTGGGAGGGGTAAAATGTAGGGGAGGGGGTTTAAAATTCCCTAAATTTTTATCTTGGCACTAAAGCTATCTGGGAATAAATGCCTAAGGTCCCTCATATTTTTCTTAACAAAACCCCCTAAATTTTATTATTATTCTCTCATTTTATTTTTTAGGAAGTAATGGACTTATTTGGAAAAGACAAAATCTTTGTTAATTCTGGACGTCCTTTTAGTGAAGATGATTGTGAAAGTTTGAGTACTTTTACTGAAAATGAACGTGAAAGACGTAAAATAAATAATCGAAAACGTTCATTTAAACCCCCACTTTTATTAAACAAAAATGAAGTTAAACAAAAAATACAAAATAATCGACGCCGAAAATGTGCTTCAGATGCTCGTTGTCGAAATTTGTCTGCTTATAATGGCTTTCTTTCCAATGATTTTGAATGGGATGATGATGCTTTTATTGGTTATCAGAATATTTCTGTTGAAAATTCTTTTGACAAATTGCCGGATATTCTTTTGGATGGGGATTTTAATGAAACTAAAAAGGTTTTTTAAAATACAGTCTAATCTTGTTATTAAATTTACCCGATATGGAGAAAAGTGAAAAATTTGAGGGAGGGGTTTGAGCATAAAGGTGAAATTTTTTCGCCTATGACCATCCAAATTTCAAAAAAATTTCGTTTGGAACAACAAATTGGCGCACACCTCGTTTTAACTCCCCTAAAATGGACACGTTGGCAACGTCCTGACTAATATATTTCTGTTTAATCTACGGATTTTATAAATTTGGTTGGATTGGTGAGGGTACTCCCAATTTAAGTCAACCGTCATTATAAGACAATTTTTCAGTCCCAGAAAGTAGAAACTTGCTAAAAATGGAATTCGACCAAATAAATAATTATTTTAACTTTTATTTTTGTTTAAGGCTTTTTCTTCATTTTATGACAAATTTCGGCAAGTTTTATCAGAAAGTCAAAATTTAAATGAGCGTTTGAGAGAATTAATAACTTTTGTGGATAAATCTTTTGATGGGACTTCGGTTCTGTTTCAAGAACTTAACTCTACATTTACATCTGTTTCGAATCTTTGTAATGATGAAAGATTTGATGAGAATGGCTTTAACTTTTCTAAAGTAACCACAATTTTACCGGGGTTTTTTCCAATTTATGCGTCCCGTTATTCATATTAATTTGGCTGGCAATACAATATAATCGATTTTTAAAATTTTTACAAAACTGCCCAAACTTTTTGTGAGTAATTTGATGGGTAGTCTCAAATAAACGGCTATGTTCTGAATCCAAAAGTCATTAACGAATATATACATAACTCTAATTTTTAAGACCAAAGAATTTATGGGACGTATAAACTGGAGTTTTTTTTATTTTTTTAGAGCATTAATTCAAATTTAATACTTTTGCAACAACGTATAAATTCTTTGGAAACTACATGCGAAAACTTATCTCTGATTTTATTAGGAAAACAATATTTAATAGAAACAAGTAATAACAAGGATTATACAAATAAATTTGCAAGAGAATTTAATGAAATTAAAGAAGAGTTGAAAAAATTAAAAAACAGGTTAATTTTCAATTTTTTAAACTCGGGGCGTCAAATAGTACAATTGTGGCTCACCACAAGATATACTTGTGGGGGTAAGAAAATAATGTCTTATAATTATGGTTGCCGGTTCGGTTTGAAATATAGAATCGGGCTCCGATTTTTGGTCTGAAAAAGATTCGAAAAGCTCGGTTCGGAACGGCAACTCGATATGTTTGTATCCTAAATTGTGGGGGGGGGGTATTTCCTAAGCTTTTCTAAGCTTTTTCACCTCAAAATTATGATTACTCCCCCTATGGTCTTCCACACAGTTACCAAACAAATTTGGAAGATGTATTTTAAATTTCTTATTTTAATGTACTAATTTAAAAAAATTATTCTAGATTTGGAAATCATTTTTTCAATTCATTTGTGGTCAATATTGCACAAAACAATGTCACCACGTCTTTTGAAAGTATTTTTCCTTTATTTAAAAATTCTAAAATAATTTAATTATATTTAGATTCACCGTCTAACAAATCTCCCCCAACATTATTCAATTCTTCAACTCAATCTAGTTTTTTAACCAAATCAGAACATCCAACAATTCCCTCCTCCTTTTGGCGTTCCTACTTATTAATGTGTTTAATTGGCCTTTTCACTTCTTTTGCCATTTTACTTTACATGAATAGCCGTGACGGTGTTGATTTTCGATGGAGTTTTGGGCCACAATTACACTATCAAAATGGACGCCCGCCAATTTAAATATCAAAAAATGATTGAAAAAAATAAAAAAAATTTTAGTTTTACAAAAAATATACTAGTTAATTAAAAAAATTTTTTTTTAACAATCAAAGCAATCTCTGTGTTTATATATTCTCTCACCTCAAAATTAAGTGCCGTGCCTTTTCCTCTTTTTTCAGGTTGAATTTCTCCCAAAAATTAAAAAAAAATCACTTCCAATTTTTTGTTTAAAACACCTCCTCCTTCAAAAAGTGCCCATAATCAAAATATTTTTTTATTAATTTTTATCAGGGATATCTCTAGATTTTATTATGTTGATGTGAGTATAGCAATACAAATCTAGAGATTATTAAAAATTTAAATAAGTATTAACTTCTCTCTTCTCTTTGACATTTTTTAAACTACACAATTATTTCTACTTAATATATTATATTTTGTCTTGTTTTTTTAAATATTTATATAAAAAGATTTTAATCATGTACTATGTAGTTACGTTAATAATAGACAAGTTTGTTGAATAAAAAGTTTTGATTAAATGACTGATAGATCAGGGCTCTCATCGACAAAATACCAATCAAGAGTACAAAAATCTTGATTTTAAAGTACATAGGGACAAAATTTTCAAATTTAAAGTACACTCAAAATTAAATTCGAAAATATTTATTCGTGTTCAAATCTTTTATATTTCTCTCCTAAATGAATCTTTTCTAATAATTTCTTGCTTCCACTGAGCATTTTGTGCATTTCAATGCATGACATGTCAAAATTCGCTGACACAAGAAGTAAAGCCTGACAGTCTTAACCTCAAGCAAGCTACTTTCTTTCGTCCATTTTCAGCGCCGCAGGCGAAAATTTTGAGAATTTTAGAGCTCAAGAAGTCATATTTCTTCCATTTTTAGCGCCGCAGGCGAAAATTTTTAAAATTTTAGAAGGCCGTAGGCAAAAAAATTCACTTTTTCAGCAGCGCAGGCGAAAATTTTTTGAAATTTGGAGCCCAAGAAGTCAGATTTCTTCCTTTTTCAGCGCCGCAGGCGAAAATTTTGAAAATTTCGAATGCCGTAGGCCAAAAAAATTCACTTTTTTGCCCAATCCCTTCCCCAATTTCATTTTCAATCCAAAATGTTGATTTTAAAGTACATACTTTCAATAAAGTACAAATTCAATTTCGTAAGTACGGAGGTCGATTTTAAAGTACTGTACTTTCAAATAAAGTACGAATGAGAGCCCTGTGATAGATTGTGAACAAGAAGCTAACAAGGAGAGTTTTCGAGGTGTCCGACCTAAAAACGGTCGAGACCGGGCCCATTCGATAGAGAATGTGCCCTTTCTAGTAAGGATTCTGAGCCGTTTTTGCACGTTTTTTGATCTGGCCAAGATATGGCCCGAAATTTGACATAATTTTTCCCCTTCCAAATATAAACTTTAAATAATGCGTTAATTTTGATGGCGTTGTGGTGTAGTGGTTAGTGTGCTTGCGTTGCTTTTTTTCTCTAAAAAGTTCGATACTTTTTTGGGTTTTATTTTTTTATCTAATTGTTTCGACTTGAGGGAAAATTTTATATATACATTTTCGCCCAACCGCTCTCTTCGAACCTATTGCCTATTTAAATTTTTCCCACAAAAATTAGCCTGTTATGTGGAGTCTTTACTTATACTGTTTGTAAATATAAATCCGCCAAATTGGTTTTGGGCAATGGACAAGTAAAATTTCTTAATTGAATCTAAACACGTACATCCAACTTTGTCGCTGACTAATTTTTCGCTCCTGTTTACCCTAGAAAAAATCCAAAGACTAAATCGTTACTTATTTGAGGTCGGTTAACTAACTAGAACCTCTTGTCCAATAATTTTTCTTTGGATGGATTTTTAAACAAAAAACTTCCTTTAATCACTGCGACAAAGTGGTTGATCAAAAATAGCCCGCGACAAATTGTCCTTGTCCTAATTTTAGGAAAATAGTTAGGGAATTAGAGAAAGAGGGAAAAAACCATTCATATTCAAATTTAAAATGGCTCCCTTTCCTTTCATGAAGTTTAAGATTATTTCTACGTTGTTTTAAGTTTCGCCTTATTTTTTAAGTCAATTTGTTTTTCAGATACTAAACATTAAATTCTTCTATCATCTCGACTTCAATTTCTCTTTGATTATGTTCGATGGATTATGAACAACAGTGTCTATGATATGATGAAATGGATGAGATGGTTCTCACTTAATGGTGTCAGATTCTGATTTTTTAATCTTATTTATTGAATGCTTGAGTTGTTGAAAGGTTTTTTTTCTAAATTTTTTTTAAGTACTGTTTGGGGTTTAACGGGGATGGGTCGGGTTAACCGAGACCCGGTCATTTTTTAACTCGAAAAGAATGATGAAACCTCGATGACTGATTGTGAGGTTTTCTCTGTCAAAAATATCGGGCTTTTTCGTTTTTCTAAAATTTTCCCCCGAGGCACTAAAAAAGGAAGAATCTGGCTTTCTTAGAACACCGTACAAATCTGAATTTTTTCAAACCCGACCCATCCCTTGTATATTTCTGGTAATGCAAAGATGGTCGCCCACATTTTGCGTGTAATGATTTGGGCGTTGGTAATGTGCGCATGAATATTCCGTGTCGGCAATCAATCGAAAGCTTTTTGGGCTGACTGAGTCAATGAGAACAAAATCCGGGGTTTGTACTGGTAATTAGAGCTGTATTCTTAAAAATCATGTAGTTTACCTAATGTTCTGCCCAAAAGATTTTCTATTATTGCGAATTAGAGAAAGTTTGTAACCCCCATTATCCGTTAAGGTTATCTGCTTTTCATTTCAAATTCGGCTCAAGCATTTACCTTTTCTGCGTTTCTAGGAGTTGCACTTAATTTATGGTCTTATGGTTGTGTGATGTATTTAAGATTCTTGTATTGTTTAACATGCTAAAAGTTTACTCCTAGGTCCGCAGATAAAAATTTTCTGGGGAATCATTTAAATTTTTGTGTTTTGTATTCAAAAATTATTTTACTTTAGGTAGAGTTGTGAGAAAACTTTAATTGCTCCTTACTGTAATTGCGCTACTTCAATTGCTGTATGTGCTGCTGTTGATGGTTTTTTGCAAGTTTAATTTTAAATTTTTGGGTCATTATGGCTAAACTGACAAAGTAACATTGTTTACTGTGAGGCCGAATTTGATAAATCTTGGGTACCATTCGATAGAGGACCCACTTCCTACTGTGAAATGATATGCCGTTTTATTACAAAATGGCTGCGTTGGATTATGGCCAATCAGAATTTATGTCTGTGACGTTTTACGATAAAATTAGTTTCGAAGTCTATTCGAAGTAATAGACTCCGATCGTTTCAAATATATAATTCGGGGTATTGTAACTTATAGGGGTAATTTGGCTTGACCGATTTGGCCCAAAATATGGCTCCGATATTCAACCGTCGTGACTCAATCCACTCCTACCCTAATAAAAGCATCTGGTGGGTTTTTTGAGCAGGAAAAATCGTAAATAAAAAAATCCCCTTAACTTAGACTCAAAGCATGATCGGCCATAACTCGGCTCAGTCATTTTGCAAGAAAGTAGATATCATTTTGTAATAGGAAGTCAATAGTCCTTTATCGAATGGTACCAAAATAAATATCGAATTGGCACTTGAAATAAAAGTGATTCCGGTAATCATTGTTTTTACTGGCCTCTAAAAATGTATCATTTTCAATTATAATAAGGGTTTCACACCTGACAAGGGAACATTTCGACTGTGACCAAAAATCTTTGGAAAAATTTCGGAATACTGAACAGAAAGCAAATGGGTCAAAACATGTCATTTGAAAGAGCTCGTCGATTGAGTCGAACGTGTGAATTTTTCACTCCCAAAAAACAGCTTATCCCCCCTATTGTTTTTCGATTTTCGGGGACCTGTATCTCACCCCTGTATCTGAATCTCAGCCCCCACCTCCGCGCGAAAATTTTTTCACCATTCAACTCAACTCGACGAGCTCTTTCGAATGACATATAGTTTGACCCATTTGCGTTCTGTTCGGTATTCCGAAATTATAACAAATTTTTAAATAAAAATTATGCCAATGTGTACATGGTCCATAGTCTATTCCCATATGTGGTTTTTTTCCTTTTACTTCCTTTTGGCTCAGATCCCTATTTCGAAATGTTATAGATAGGGCTAGGATTTTAGGCAAAATGCCTCTTTTTTCCTAAATAGGCCTGATCTTGAAACGTCCAAATCAGGTGTTATTTTAATGAAATCTTCTTTCTAACTAATTTTATCGTTGCCTAAAATAGCCTATTTTGGCTTTTTCTGAAAAAGTGCCCTATTTTGCCTTTTTTCAGCCTATTTTGCATATTTTTACAAAAATTTGCGACTTTTTGGCTTTTTGTTAAATTTTTGACTAAAACTAGTTCTGGCAAAATTTATTTTTCAAAAAAAATTTAAAAAAAAAATTTTTTTGTCGAAAAATTTTTAACTTAAAAAATTATTCAAATTATTTTCGGAAGCAAAATAATTAAAATAAATTAATTTATATTTGCAATTCTTATCGTCAAAATTAATTTATTTAACAGTTTATTGCTTAAATTCAACCATTTTTATAGATTTAAGTATTTTTGCAGATCTAGTTCAAATTTTAAGAAACTTTGTATATTTTGCTTGCCTATTTTGTCTTTTTTTCGAAATTAGGTGCCTATTTTGGCTGTTTTTTAGTGCCTATATAGGCGCCTATTTTTGACTTTTTAGTGCCTAAAAATCCTAGCCCTAGTTATAGAGATTCAAAGTTTCAGACTTTTGGAGCGGTCGTGTCTAGCTCATCTCCTCTAAAGAGCAATTTTTCTCCTCCCAAAGAGAAAAATAAGACTCCCATCAGCCTTTTTCCTGGCTCCCCCATATCTTGCCAAATCCATAACTTGCCAAACCCATATCTTGCCAATAGGGGCAAAAATCCATATCTTGTCAACTGCATATCTTGCGAAACCCATATCTTGCCAAACCCATATCTTGCCAATAGGGCTCAAAACCCATATCTTGCCAATAATACTAAAATCCCATATCTTGCCAATAAGGGCAAAATCCTTAAAACTTGCCAATAAAAGTAAATGTGTTAGGGGTCCGTTGAGTATCAGACGGTTGAGTATTTTTCCGGAAACTATTCCAGAATCCTTTTTCCGGACAACACTTTTCCGGAATCCTTTTTCCGGACGACACTTCCGGAAGATATTTTTCCGAAATCATTTTAACGGATTGGCAAGTTTTAAGGCAATTTTTAAATTTATTGGCAAGTTTTAAAGATTTTGCCCTTATTGGCAAGATATGGGATTTTAGTATTATATATACAAGATATGGGTTTTGAGCCTTATTGGCAAGATATGGGTTTGGCAAGATATGAATGGGCAGGATATGCATTTTTGCCCCTGTTGGCAAGATATGCGGGCACGTTTTTCCTTTTCTTTTCTATGTTAGTTAAAGAAAGCGTGCCCGCACAAAATACCGAATTCTCAAAATCGCGAATCGGCTAAAAAAGCTCAAAATACCGAATCGGGAAAAATATCTCAAAATATGGAATCGGCCAAAAAAGCTCAAAATATGGAATCTTAAAATATCGAATCTCAAAATCTCGAATAGGCTAAAATGCTCAAAATACCGAATCGGCTAAAAAGTAGTTAAAAATGTCGAATTTTTTAAATCGAAAAGGGCCGTTTGAGTGCCGCCAATTGAGTGCAGGTCTTTTTCAGTTTATTCAGGGGTCTGTATCTCAGTCCAATAAAGTCGGATTTCATTGATTTTGGTATCAGTCGATGCAGCTCGTCGTGCTCTTTCAAATGAGCTATCATTCGGAAAATCGAAATTCAGTTCGGGATTCGAAGCTCGGTTTATGGTCTGGGATTCGACTTTTTCAAAATCCTAGCTCAGATTCGTAATCAGCATATTTTTTACACTAGAAAAACCCTTTTGCATATTTTTAAATTTTTTTCGAAGTTGTTGATAAAATTGTTCAGACTCAACTGGCTTTTGCCGCATTGTCGATATTTTGAGCTTTTTTGGCCGATTCGATATTTTGGGATTCCATATTTTGAGATTCGATATTTTGAGATTCCATATTTTGAGCTTTTTTAGCCGATTCGCGATTTTGAGATTCCATATTTTAAGAATTCGGTATTTTGTATGGGAGCCAGAGATGTTTCGAAATTTCGATTTTCGTTTTTCGATTTTCGAGGTTTTTTTCCTTTCGATTTTCGATTTTGAAAATTTTGAAAAATATTTTCGATTTCGATATTTTTGGATTTTTTTCGATTTCCGATTTTCGAAGATTTTTTTGTTTCGAAACATCTCTGATGGGAGCCAAAGAAAGAGAAAAGAAAAGGAGAGGAAATTGGGAAAAGAAGAGGAAAGGAAAAATGGAGGACGCGAGTCTTATTTTTCTCCTTAATAAGAAGAAAATCTCTGTAATAAGAAAAATGAGGGAAGATTCGACCGTTCCAATAGCCTGAAGCTTTGATCAGGGAGCCAAAAAGACCAAAAATTAGCTATAGGTTATTCTCTACATGATGGTATAATTTTTATTTAACCACCCGGATTCTTTTCAAGCATTTAAGTTGTATCCCCCAATACATATAACCCAATACCCAAGACATAATTTAAAAATTTTTTTGTCTCTATCTTAGGACACGCATCCATGAACTTTTATAGGTACTTTTCGGTTTGCCACACTCCTCCCATATATTCGCGGGATATTTTTCTATTTTTTCTTAATTCGTATAGAAAGGTCAGTCTTCTTTTTTCCTCAATTTCACTGAATATTCCCTGGATTCAATATTCCGCTTTCACACAATTTTCCCAAATTAATTTCAATCTTGATGACATAGGAAAGTAAACTTAATCTTTTTTTGTTGGTGAATTGAAAGAGTGAAATTAAGGAAGAAAGCATACTGTTACGCGGGACGGACAATACCAGACTTGAATACCCCCACCAATGCCATTCCTTTTCCAATCCCCGACTCAATCATATAGGCTCTCCCTTCCCTCTCTTCTCTATCATTTTATCCACTTTTCACCCCCAAGCCCCACCCCCTTTCTCTCTACTACTTGATTGGAAGAAGGAAGAAGATGTTGGTTCATTCTCCTTCGTTTGTTTTTGTTTGGAATTGTTTTGGAATGGAGATGAGAGTGTTTATTGGATTTAATATTATTTTTGATTTTGCCTTGTATTTACTTTTATTTTAAATGCCTTTCCATTTTTATTTGTTTTAATTATTTAACCCACTTATATATTTTGATGCCTAAATAAATATTTTGTTGAATCCCGGCCTTATTTATTGAGATTAGGGAGTCCTCTGCGCCACCCCAATACCGGCCCGTCGTTTTGTCATCTTGTCTTCCTCCTCCCTTCCCCCTTTCAGGCGCTCCGAAGATACCGGGAGGACGGTCGGGCGTCCAAGTCCTGACCGTCCGTCCCGCGTATAACTGGTAGCACACCGGATGGTTCCCTTCCCTCTCGACCCAAAATTTTTTTTTTAATCCTTTATCCCTCTCTCCCTCCCATTTTTAAAATAAACACTGATTCATCCTATATCAGGATGGAAAATTTTTTTTTCTTTCTCCAATAAAAATATAGGCACTATTTTTTTACAATAAATTCCCTTCAAATTGACCCAGACATTACCCCAAGCCAAGCTATCTACAACATCGGCGTTATAAAACACAGATGTGTAGTTTAGCATTCTCTCCCCCCCCCCCCCCCCCCCCCAACCCATTCAAAAAACACATATTTTCTTTGTCCTTTTCGTTGTCCCATTCCTGCAGCAGTTCAATAAAAAATGCGCACATCCAAACAGGCAAAGAAGAAAAAATTGACCTACCCTTTTTGCCCATTTTAGCTTCGCTTTACTTTCCCCATTATAATTTTTCTGGCCACTTTTCTCAACATCTCTCCTTATTTCCTACCATTTTGCATCTCCGTCCTTACACATTTTTTTATAAATTTGTCCTTACATACATTTTATAAACTATGAATTTATTAATGTTAAAATTACATAAATTTATTTTTCCCTTTTCTCTTAACTTTTTATCCTTATCAGGTTACTTTAAGAATAGAATGTTAAAATCAAAATCCCCCTGTTGGAAAAATCAAGGTCTGGATCTGGGTCTTTTATTTCCCCTTTCTTCTGAAACTCCCCGCATTAAAATTGTTTGTTTCGGATATTCCAGAACAAACCTTTCCACTAAAATTTTAACCATTTTTACAGTGCCACACTCTTCCCAGTTCCCAGTAAACATTTTTTTCCAACCATTTGTCAACAACCTCTTTATTTTTACCACTCCCAACCCCATCCATATACATATTTGATAATGGTTATTTTTATTACTTATCTTTCAATTTTTATGCATATCTAAAACAAATTATTCTTAAATAAATTATTTTAAAATAATCCTAGGAATTCATACCAGGGAGGAACGCTTCCGCGTTCCGCCTTCCTCAGAATTCTGCCCTCTTTTTGGTCTTCCGCTCCACCTTCCGTCTTCCTCTTTTTTTTTAATTTTATTCCGCTTTCCCCCGCTTCCGCCTTCCGCTTTTCAAAATAAAAAAATTCTCCATCCCTATTTCATACCAGTCTTTTTGTTAAGACTAGAATGAAATTTTAGGAACAAATTTTTTTTAGGTTTCCCATCCCCTTAAAATATTTCTCAAACCCTTCTTACCTAATTTTCTAGTTTTATCAATCGGGTGTTAAAACTAGAGATTAAAATCACAAATCGCCTAATAGGAAAAATCATCCATAGGAAAAATCATCCATTTGTTTCGGAAACATCCAAAACAAAAAAAAGATATAACAGGGATAAGAAATATTGTAAATTTTAAAATTAAATATTTTTTTAAATTTAAAAATCATTGTAAATTTTTGTGTTCACTTATTCCAAAAAATTTTTTCAATACAGTATATTTTAATATTTTTCTAAAAAATCCACTTTTTATTTTCCCTGAGAAGAGATAGGATACTGTACAAAAACAAAGTCCGCGTGCATTCCAATCCTTTACAAAAAAAAAAAGAGAAAAGAAAAATAAAATTTTGTCCAAGTCTGGGAATCATCCTTATCTCTTTAAAATCATTTTTTATCGGCGCGATTGAAACAAACAATTTTAAAACAAATTCCCTTAGATAGCTAACAATTATTACACTCCCTTGAGAAAGCGCCATCTTTAAAACAGTAAAAGCATTACAAACTATCCTTTTCCTTCTATCCTTTTTAAAATAATAATTCCCAGTAATTACAATAAAAAGAAAACAAAATATTAGCTTTCCCAGATGCATCCTTTAAGCCATAACGCCCCTTTGATAGAAATTATCCATATATAAGAGTAAGGAAAATCATTATCCATCACCTTTTAATTTTAATTCAAAAAAAAATTCTTTTTTCAAAATCATCCTACTTATAATCAACTACAAATAAAATTTTTCTTTTTAAAATAATTTAATTAAAACACATCGTTAGTATTATTCAAATAATATTAACTGATCATTTTCCATTTTCAATTTTTTTTTTTAATTTTTATTTTTCCCTCTCATTTATCGTTTTTAATTTTAATTTAAAATTTTAATTTATTTAAATCATCACCCTCTCATTCATTCAAAAAACACCAGTAATGACTGAAGACGAAAATACACCAGTAGGGACCGAAAATATTACTGCAATTGACCGTAGGCTCTTTTCCGGGCGTACAGGGAATCCGAAATTTCAGGATCTAGATAGTCTTCTAGCTAATACTGCCTCCTTAGAAGAGTCAGTGAATCGCTCTTTTCGTGCAGTTAACCGAAGGGTAAACTCCACGACACAAGCGATAAACACAATTTCTGGGGATCTAAACACGGGACTTCTCACTTTGGCCAAAAGAATAGACACACTCTTGCCCGAAACCCAAACTCCTCAGCCAAAAGCAACAGTCCCGACCGAAAATTTAATTAGTCTGACACCAGCAAATGCCGCAGGGAATTCCCAGCAGCAAACTAATACCGTCCCCATCCAACTCCCAAACTCCGAAACCAACCTCTCCGACGATGAAGAAGACACAATCGGACGCATCGCCGGCCTTACATTTGATTACCCCCTCAACTCCCATGGCCCCGTCCCAATTTACTCAGGCGAATCCTCTGGCACCTTTTCCTCATGGGCCCAAAAATTTCTCGATTATATGGAAGGAACCGCACAAAAGTTAGACGAACCCTCAAAAATAGGCAGACTTAAAATGTTTTTAGACGGAATACCCCGGCAGGTCCTAGAAGAACTCCCTCCCGAAGACAAAAACACTCTAGCCAAGGCATTAGATTCACTCAAACGCTCCCTTGACACCCCAATCAGAGCTCAATTGGCAAAACAATCTCTCTCCCTCTGCCGACAAAAGGAAGATGAGTCACTTGATCGATTTGTCGATAGACTCATCCCTCTTGTTTTCGCAGCATATCCCGAACAAACCCCTCAGTCAAGAAAAGACATTCTAAAGGCTGCATTTCTCGATAAAATTAAGGAAGAAATCGCATTCTATGTTAGAGTAGGAATTACCCCCCAGCAATCATTCGAAGAAGTTAGGATTAAGGCACTAGAAGTAGAAAACTTAATTCAAACACGTAAACGCAAACACGACCATGAGGAATGGCTCAATGTCATATCTCATGCAAACACACAAAACCCTCCTCGATTTCCTATTGGCAATTTTACTACTTGGCAGAACAATCCAAATAGTAATTTTACCACTACCCCAGGCACAAACTATAACCAACGACCCAGAAATACTTATTGGAACCAAAATCAACCTCAAAGAAATTTTAGAGGAAATGTATCACAAAACTTCCAGGCCAGACCCCAGTACTCGCGCAACTTCAATCAATCCCAAAATACCGGACCATCTAACCCAAATGCATTTAAGACTTGCAATTATTGCCATAAAATGGGGCATGTAATCGCCGATTGTTACACCAGGGCACGACTTTATGGACCGTACCCTAACCGAAACCGCTCTTTCAATCCAAATTTTCAACCTTTAAGGAATAATCCGGCATACAACCCCGGGCAAAATAGAAACAACCCCAATATAAGAAACACTACTGAACGTCTAAATTTCATAGACATTCATGAAAGAAACAACCAAGAATATACTTGGAATTCTGATGACCCTGACCCACATAATCTAAAATCATTAACACTCTCCCCTCCCGAAAATTCCAAAAATAAGGGTAAGATTAATGAAACCCCCGACATTGAACCAATTCGCCCAACAAAACTTGAAAATTGGGAGAACCAATCAAACGTAAAACCTAGCTTCTCCATTGCCCCGTTCATTACCCGTCTGACACACATTCTATGTTTGCTTATGATTATACCCGGGCTTTTCGCTTTTCCAAATTCCAATAAACTCACCTCATACAATCCTCAAAATCCTATGATATGCCAAACCGAACAGCAGGGGGAATACTGGACATTACCAAACTTTGCACCTTGCCCACGCCTCAAGCAAAATCGGTCAGGAATCCCTGTTTCACAGAATATCAGACTTTACCGCCTTAACGCCTTCCAGCAATCCAATAAAGCATGGGCATGCAGAATCATTAAAAAAGGGGAAGACGAATACACTAACCCAACTAACGACCTTATAAAAATAAATATACAACCAGCTAATCTTCTTGTCCCACCTGCAACTTGCCAAGAAATGATTAATCGAAAAAGCTGCGAATTCGGTACTCTAAAGGAAGAGGCTGGATTATGGCACACTGATAACCGCATATTTTACGAAAAAAGGCTTCCAATATTCGGATGGTCCTGGCGTTCTCATCACTCCCTTAATTGTTATCTCTTTAAAACTGAAATTTCTGTCCCCCATGATTCCATTCAGATACAATCCCCATTAGGCCCCATGAATCATTGTACCTATTTAAATGGAAGCTGCATACTTGCAGACAACACCACATTAATATGGAAACCTACCCCTGATAAACAATGTCGATTTATTTTGATTGGGGAATTCACTGGACACTTTATGACCGATATTTGGCTAGGGGATAACATTGACATCGGCCTCTCTCTAAAAAGTAACGTATCAAAAATAATAGACTGTAACAGAACCCTGCTGATAACAGAGCAGGGCTTTGCTTACGAACCAATCAATTCTAAAACCCGAACCAGAAGAGACATATCTTGGGAAAAGGACTGGGACCATGAAAGCCTTATTACCGATAGCCAGTTAGAAGGACAGCTCACTTACCTCGACCATGAGCTAAAAGAATCACTAATCTTTCAGTTCTCTCACTCCCTTCACCAGCTTTGTGAGTTCGCCGAAGAAACTCGGAAATGGACCACAACAGCACTACTCTCCAATCCCTCGACTCTGGCCCGTGCAATCTTAAGTAACCCCAATATAATCGCACGACATATTTCGGGCACCACGCTCAAAATATGGCCGTGTGTTCCACTCACTACCGCCCAATACAATTTCTCCCCAACAAACCTAGACACATGCTTCGACCTCCTTCCAATAAAAATTAAAACACAAGGGAAAGACGAGCTTGCTTTTCTTGACCCTTCAACTCTAGTTATCTCGGCAAAAGCGCGCAAAGCCCCATGTTCTCAATATAGGAAAATACCGATACAGATTAATGGCACATTCAAAGAAATAGACCAAATAACAGGCGAAGAAATTATTTTATATACCCGAGTCCTTAATAGCAAATCCTTTCACGAAATAGACGCGCCAAAAATCCTTCCACATACTTTTCACCATCTAGTTTTAGTAAACCTCACTGACATTATCACCCATTCTTATCTCTCTAGCATGGCCCAAGTCAGTCAAATAACTTTTAGGATTGAACAGCAGAATTCGGCTGTTAAGTCAACAATGTCGACTGACTGGGAAGAAGTGCGAAAAGAGATAATAAACGAAACAGTAGGAGATTGGTCTCAAATACAAAACACCTTCTGTTTCATAGTTTGCATAATCGCCTTTATAGACATCCTTATTAGAATTTCAGCTGTGCTTATAGAAAATTATCTCAAAAATTTTACTATAATCCGGGCAATAGAAAATAAATTAACCCCAAAGAAAAGTACCACCAAGACACCACAAAACCCTGTAGCCAAAAAACCTGACGCTACCAAAAAGCATCAGGCACTCTTTAGAAACCACCCCTCTCAAATTTTGCTAGAACTTGGCCGTCCACTTGAAGGACAGCCAAGAAAATGGCCGCCATCAGTGACAAAATTTCCCATAGTTTTTCCTCCCGAACCAAAACCAAATTCAAATAAGGCCTTACTCTCAAAATCCAACTTTAAGAAAAGATCCCACTCCTCAAGCGTACTTATTGAATTTCTAAGCAAAATTGATCCGACTTTAGACGGACCAACACTCATTTATAATTACCTACCTGTAATAAATGCAACCTTTGACTCCATGAATGTAGACTGCCTTATTGACACGGGATCCACGGTCTCACTCGCACCAATAGAGCTTATAACCTTTTTGGGATGCCCCATAACTGAAGGAGAAATTATTGTCACAACCCCATCAGGTCACAATGTTCCAATAATAGGGAAAACTAAAGTTGAAATTATAATTTGCAATTTTTCAAGGGAATTGGACCTTTATTTAGTACCCGATGATAAATTTATAGGTGAAGGGACCTTTCAAGCTATACTTGGGTGCAATCTTTTTGCACTCCTTCCCCCAATCCACATCGACTTCACGCACTGTTTTTTCCATGTAGGAGAGGAGTGTACATCCCTAATTAACCCACATACCACTAGTCCTTATTTACTTACCATCCAAAACAACCTTCATAACTCAACAATTACCGCATATATAAACAATTCCCAGTTTCGCTGTTTAGCGGATACTGGAGCAACCTTCACAGCAGCCCCTCTAAGTATTGCAGAAAAATTAGGAAGCCCCATAAAATATGAAAGACTAGGAGCCGTAAGCGCCTCTGGTCATCATATGCCAATAATTGCCTCAAGTAACACAGAAATCTGCGTTGCTGGATATCTAATACCCCTTGAAATTAAATTCGTAGATGATAAACATTTTCACAACTCCAAAGATTATGATATAATCTTAGGATGCGATACATTTGCCAAACTCCCACCCTTAACATTTAATCATAATGAAAATACACTAACCATTGGCAACAATGTCACACCAATGGGCGTTACTCCTAAAATACGATCATCCATAGGAATTCGAGCCTTCAAATCAATAACTATTCCACCCGAGAGTCAATCTCTAATTCCAATAAAGATTGACTCAAACATTAATCTTCAACTCCTATCAATTGACACACTAGACAAGAGACTTGCTGAGCAGGACTTTTGTTTAATCCCCACACTCATCCAACCAAAAAATAACATAGCCATACTTCCTTTAATTAATCCCACCCAGGAGCCCAAAAATATTTACCAAAACATGACCATAGCATACGCAACCGAAATAAATTTTGACCAAAATCTCCAACTTTTTAGGGAAAATAATTACAATTCAATTGGATCTGTAGAACTCACAGACCAAACATCCCTTATAGAAAAAGACCCAACATTTATAATTGACTTTTCTAAATCTTATGTAAAAGGGAATGACCTGGAAACTCTCAAATCACTTTGTGAAGAATTCTCAGACATATTTAGTAAATCTCAATATGATCTGGGTTCATGCAAGGCTGGTTCCCATAACATTGTCACAACAACCCAAGAACCTATTATCTCAAAACCTCACAGAACCCCCTTCAAGTACCGCGATGAGCTCAAAAAGCACATCGACCAATTATTGAAATCTGGAGTAATGATCCAGTCAGACACGCCATGGGTATCCAATCTGGTCCTAGTTCAGAAAAAAGATGGAGGATTAAGACCCTGCATCGATTTTCGAAAACTAAACGAAATAACTGTACCAGATCACTTTCCCCTGCCCCGACTTGAGACTATTATGGAAAAAATAGGCAACTGTCATTACTATAGCTCACTAGATCTATCCTCAGGCTATCTTCAGATTCCTTTAACTGAAGAAGCGTCACGAAAATGCGGTCTAATCACAGAAGAAGGTGTCTTTCAAATGACCCATCTTCCGTTTGGACTGCGCAATGCTACCGCAGCCTTTAGTCGAACAATGTCCCATGTACTTTCCGGTGTCGAGAACGTACTCACCTACGTTGACGACATCTTAATATACACTAAATCGCCAGAATTCTCCGCTCATTTAGAAACACTACGGAGCGTTTTCGAACGCTTTCGATTATTTAATCTAAAACTCTCCCCGAAAAAATGTAAATTCGCAACCAGCTCAATGGAATTCTTGGGATACACTGTCTCTGGAAACGGATTCATACCCTCCCTGTCGCGCATCGAAGTAATTAAAAATATTCCCGCACCTAAAACCCTTAAACAAGTCCGTAGAATTGTTGGAATGGCAAGTTTCTATAGAAAGCACATACTAGGATTCGCAACAATTGTCGAACCTTTAACCAGTCTAAATAAGAAGAATAAAATTTTCGAATGGGGACCAAAACAGGAGCAAGCTTTTCAAAAAATAAAAGAACTTCTTGCCAAGGAACCAATACTTACCTTCCCAGATTATAAAATGCCATTCCACATTTTTACAGACGCCTCAACTGTAGGACATGGCGCAGCGTTGATGCAGAAACGCGACGACAAATTTCATGCAATCGCCTACGCCTCCCGTAGTCTATCACAAAACGAGAGAAAATGGCCTCCAGTTCAGATCGAACTTGGAGCCATAATATATGCTCTCCGAACCTTTCGCCCATATATTTACCTGTCCGAGGTCGAATTACATTCAGACCATCGCCCCCTCATTTACCTTCAATCCAAATCCCAACAACACCCACAATTAGCAAGATGGCTAATTGAAATCCAAAATTACAATATAAAGATAGTACACATAGAAGGCAAGAAAAACACACTTGCGGACGCTCTCTCTCGCTCGCATGAATCAAACCCTCTCACAAATACCCCAGAACTTGAAGACATAATTGAATTCCCTGTCTGCCTATCACTAAATATATGTGACCGTATTGTCCTAGACCCAATAATTAATTCACTAACAATCAGAACAAGAGATGGACCTCAAACGGTCGATCTCGTGTTTGAGCAAACGAATGACGCTGAAACCTCTCCCATAATTAAATTCCTTACTGATGGAACCCTACCAGACCTGGACGAAGAAGCACAGAAAGATTTTGTAGCAAAAACACAAAATCTTGTAATCTCATCAGACATTCTCTACTTTTACCCCCCTGAATCATTACCCAGGATTTATGTACCAGCCTCTCTCCGCTCACTAATTTTTGACTCCTTTCACATCTCAATCCTCGGGGGAGGTCATATGAATTTAAGGAAAACGATTCATAAATGCTCTCGGCGCTATTATTGGCCCAAAATGTATTCCGACATACTAATCTGGACAAAACAATGTTTGGTATGTCAACTCCGTCACAATCCAATTCCGCTATACAAAGCAGAAATGAGATCTGTTCCCGCTAATACCCTATTTGCCCGGATAGGATTAGATATAGCTGGACCTCTCCCTCTCACCGAAATGGGGAACCGACATATTCTTAATATTATCTGTTGGTTCACCAAATATGTTATTGCAATTCCAGTACCCAATACAAAGTCCCAAACAATAGCCTATGCATTATTTAAAAATGTTTATCTCAAATTTGGAGGTTGTACTGAGATATTAACCGATAACGCAACAACCTTCACATCTGAGTTTTTCAAATCCTTCTGCTCCCTTCTTTATATTAACAAGACTTACTCCACACCTTACCACTCCCAAGGAAACAGTGTCACTGAAAGATCATTCAGGACATTTCATAATATTTTAGCGAAATACATAAACCCTAAGGAACCAAATTTTGATGAGTTCCTCGATGCGGCCACATTTTGCTATAACACCTCTGTCCACGAAACCACTAAAGAGACGCCGTTCTTTCTTGTCTTCGGACGCGACCCTATATTCTCAATTGACCAAATCATGGACACCACTATCTCCACCCTTCCCCAACACACTGACCTCTCAGACTTTAAGACCCGACTTGTACTCTCCCTCAGAAAAGCTTGGATCTCGGCGGCAGAAGCCACCAAGCAAGCTCAAGACAAATCCAAAACACAATATGATAAACACTCCCGGTCTCAAATCATTGCGATTGGAGATCGTGTCCTTCTTAGGAATTACACAGGAAAACCAGGAACATCCCAAAAATTCCATCTCCCCTGGAAAGGATTGTTTCGGGTAATAGACGCAGACGATATACACGCAACCATTATAAGTTGCACCTCCCCCCAATCTAAACCCCAAAGAGTACACCTAAACCAGATTAAAAAATTTATAGGACCCGAGATAACAACACCTGCATTAACTACCCCAGAAATCCCATCAGAAGAGTCAGAAGCTTTAAAACAATCTCAGGCGGTAGAACTAGATGAAGTCATAGGATACAATCATGAATCGCCTGAAAATAGTAACCAAAACATGAACAAATCCCAAGACCCACAAAACCCCACAGGAATAAACCCGGACACTGAGATAAGAAACACTCACCAATACAATCTTAGAAGTAAGCGACAATAAACACAAACAAACCATAGGGAAAGCCAGCCTCACCCACGCCCTTGTAATGTAACAATCCCCAAATATAAACCCTTATATCTTCAGAAAATATAGTTAAAATACCCCTACCTGTCTCCACACTCACATTTCCGCAGGACATATTTTTTAAAAGCCATCAACTATTGAAAGACGCAACACTCCGCGACGCGCGATAGCTCATTCGAAAGAGCAGAAAAATCTCTACAAATGTTATACTCGGGATACTCGAAAACCTCAGGAATCCCAAAATTTTTAGACTTCAAAATGAACATATAAATACCAACCCCTAACAAAAACAATAACTCAAGGATCATAAGAGCCTTGGGACATAATTATAACATCGAGATAATCTCATATCAACACATTACTGGTGTCGTTATATACTACCTTGTTATAGTAATCATTTTCTACAATATTTCATATCTAACACTCAACTTCTCTTAAAACCTAAAATCTTTTTCTTATCAAACTAAATCAATATTAACGTTTTTGAATTATAACAAATATACAGATAAATTTAATCAAAAAATGTCTATTATACCCTTTTATTCGACGACTAAAAAATATTCAGAACTTTCAAACTTCCACCTGGCCCAGATAAAAATAGATGGAAAATCGTTCCCCTCCACTGAAAACTATTACCAGTTCGTTAAAGCAACAACCCTTGGGGCCCAATTAAGCGACATTAATAAAATATCCTCCACTACTCCTTCCTCTTCAAAATTAATGGCACAAAATATTGAGCAAGAGGCGACTTTAGCTCAAATTAATCTTTGGCAGTCAAAAAAGATCACTACTATGCAAACCGCACTCCTCGCAAAATTCACACAACATCCTCCCCTATTAGAATTATTATTAGACACATCTGACAAAATTTTGGTGGAGGCATCAAAGTCAGATGCTTTTTGGGGGGCATCTGCTAGCGAAGAAACCATCATCAAGACAGGAAAATGGAGGGGGTTAAATATTCTGGGAAAAATGTTAATGGAAATTAGAAAAGAATGTAAGTATCCCTTAAAAACTTTAAAATAGCTGCACATAACACTAAAGAACCGACTGAGTAACACATAATAACCCTCCTCCTTTATTTCCTTTCTATTCTTCTTTAATCATATTAATTTTCTTCAATTAATATTTTGAATATAATTATTAAATTTTGTTTAGAATGCCTCTTAAAAAAGTAGTAAAGAAAAGTTCAAAAGTAACTATTAAAACTAAGGCTAAAAATTTAATAAAAATTGGAGAAAATACTAAAACGACAAAAATTGATTCTGGAATTGAAATGCCACCAAATCAGACTAATCCACCCCAAAATGGCCTACCAACAAAAATTCAAAAAAATCTTACCACTCCACCACAGACTACCCCTCCAGTCCTTTCTACCCCCCACCAGCAACAAAATGACATTGAAATGGAAGTTGATGAACAACATCCAAAAATGGAAATTGATCAACAACAACAAATTCCTATTAAAACTCAAAATTTTATTGAACAAAATCTTACTTCCTCTTCTAATAATGCTAAAACTTTAAATACTTCCCCACTAATTTCCAATCCCCATTATGAACCTTTAAGCAGTCCCGAACCTGAAACTGACAAAATTTCAAAACCCCACCCAATAGAGTCAACCCCCTCTCTAAAACTCCAAAATAACCCAATTCTTGAGGACACAACCCCACAATCCTTTTCAATCAATAACCCCCAACACATCACTACGGAAACACGTAGCCATAGTGATTGGTCTCCACTTAATGATAGTTGGTCCCCTCTAAGACGTGAAATAAATACAACCCCTCCACCTACCCAATATTTAGATCCAAACAATATTCCTACCCAAACTTATACTCAACTCCCAATCACCGGTCTGGAAATAAACAAGTACTTTATTTCCAGAACTTTTCCCCGTATTATAGCCGCCAAAGCATCCCGGGGCAATAAATCACTTCTCTGGCCCGACTTTTTGGAATTAGAACAAAACACTACCACCAAATTTGACATTGGTGACACAATACGTTTCGAAAGTTTCCGACCTCTCACTGCTGAGGAAATAAACAATCAACCTGTCCTTCCTCCCAAAATCTCTAATATAGGTATAGGACCAGAATTACTTAGTCCCCAAATTCCATCTCACATTGGTCAAGGATTCGTGCTCAGTACAAGAGATTTGTTGACTGAAGCAGGGAATCTGATTTGTCCAATGGCACTGGTAGAAACTGACTCCTCAATTCTTCCCAACCTAATTCCTCTCCACCCTGACCATAAACTAGAAGTCGGTTCTTTAATAGGTGTTGTTTGCAAAACATTACCCCCAGGCACTATAGTATCTGAGGAATTTTTATTACCACAATCCTTTACAGTTACCCCTTCACTTTCAAAACAACAAAAACGTGCCGGCCCGTCAACTACTTTTGCCACTGAAGCTACAAGTCCATCCGAGTTTGTTTTCCCCTTTTCATTAAAAAGAAATAAAAATAATGAAATTGATGTCCACAGAATAATAGCCGCCGCACTCCGCACATTAACGTACACTCAAACCAAAATTCATTCCTCTACTCTCATTTATACCAAACTTAACCCCCACCCCTTTCACAAAAATAGACCAATTTTTCAGATTAACCACACACCCAAGAATTTAAGAGAATTAGTTACATTTACTAAAATTTGGGAAAAAGATTCACCCCTAATTGCCACACTCGAAGATAACCCTGAAACTCCAATAGCCCAAGGAACAATAATAGACATTGTAACAATAGATAATTCTTTCCAACTCATCATCTCAGTATACCTTAAACAATTAGAAAACCAAGACGAGTATATTCCACCCCTTGAAGGCGCTTATGTGCACCTTCAAGTACCTTACACTCCCAATCAAATGAACAAGAGGGCAGATTCCTGGTCAGCACTTGAACCACTCCGACTCACCGAAAATTCATCCCCACAAGCAACATTGTTGAAACAAATTTTAGGTATTGACACAAGACCTCGACTTAAAAACACCCGAGACCTCGCTCATGCCATATTTGCTTATGATTCTGAAACTCCTCCGAATGAAGAACAATTAAGAGCAATTGATCTCATTTTTAACCCTTCCCCGTCCATAGTTGTTACATTAGCTCCTCCGGGAACCGGAAAATCACAAATTATAGGAATAATGGCCCTACAACTCATGAAAATAGATAAATGTCCAACTATAATTGCTCACAGCAACCTTGCTATGAGTAAAATAGTTGAATATATATGTCCCGAGCTCTCAAAATTAAACAAAACTGCACTGGTCCTATTATCGGCGAGAGCTAAGGAACAGTACATGGAACTCTTTAACGATTTTAAGGAACATTTATTAATTACTTCCCTCCAAGACATTGACATTGACTCCCTCAAAATTAAGGACAGAAGAATTGCACTCCGATATAAAGAGAAGGCTTTCAGTAAGCCAAAAATGGCTGATGAAAAGTCAACCGCCATTATTGTACTTACATCTGACATATCACCCCCTACTAGGCTATCAACTGTCTCTATGTGTGAGGACGTGTCGACACTGATAGTCAACACGACCCACCTTTTTATTGACGAAGCAGGCCAAACCCCAACCAGTCAAATAATCCATATCTTAACCTATGCAACAAAATTAGAGAAAATTTTTGTCACCGGGGATCAAAAACAACTGGGTGTTTATAAAGAGGACATCCCAAAATACCTCCACAAATATGGCTTCAACTCCATATTAAACCATGCACTCTCAATACCCTCAATCCCAGTCATTAAACTCACTAAATCATATAGAAGTCACCCAGCTTTAACAAATATAGT